TGCCAGAGCAAGTAACAGAGTGTCCTAAGCATGTTCTTCTAATTACGAACCTGCTGATAGAGCCTAAGCTTTTACCCAGAGCAATTAACAGTGTATCCTAAACCCATCAACATTTACTAGCATAACTTAACAAGGTAGATTACATGCTATGTGCCTGTACAAAACAACTAAAAAAGATGGAGGAAAGATAAAGTAAAGAGACAGATACAGGATTGAAGTAGGTTGTGTGTGTTAAAGCCCTTGATAAAGAGAGAGGGGGTAGAAGGGCAAGGGCGGGGGGTTTAGTTGTTTGCTAAACAAAGTACAATTGTCTTTTCTTTAGTGTTTGTATACGCAGTGCCAATCACCACTCTGAATTGCAAGTGGTAAAGTTTAAGTAATTAAACAGTATTAAAGAACTAAAAATAAGAACTTAAAAGAAGACATAATTTTAAACTGAACCAGTCTGTAGTACCGGTTAGCTGGCTGATTCCCCTTGTGTAGTGATTACTCATACATAGAATTTGACACCGATTTGTCACTTCAAATGAACAAAGGCCTTCCCAGCTTCCAAGGATGCCAGAAGACCTATGAATACTGTGTAGAATAACACTTTGTGTGTGTTTTCAGACCCCTGCCTCCCCGCAACGAATATTTAATTGTGTATTAATATTGGATGAATATCCTTTAGTCTATTAACTTTAATTTTCTGCATAGAATCTTGCTTCCGTATTCAGCAATGAAATTGGACATACATTTTAGCACTTAAAAGAGCCTTTACCTGGTTTTGGAATTGTTAGTAGTATTCCAGTTTGGCTAGCCGTATTGAAGAAGGATCTCAGAGGGCATGTTTGAAACATCTGTAATATGGATTTTTGCAGGTAGGTAACTTATAGTATCTTCACCTTCTTATTGAGATAACGGAGCAGACACATTGTCTATTTGATTTAGGGTTAAACGGGGAAGATCTGGGTTCTTCAGGTAATGCTCCATGGTTTGGGAAGATGGCTGAGTGGTATGGGAGTCTTCTTTAAGGTTATATTATGTATTGTAATATTGAGCAAAAGTATTGCTAATGTCCATTTACTACCCGGGATACAACTTTACTGCAGTCAGGTGTAATGAGGAAAGGGATTCTAGAGGCCACTTGTTTTTGTTTTAAACAGGTCGCCAGTAATGTTGCTCTGCCTATATTATAAGGCTCTGAGTTTTCTTATTAGGAGACCTTTTTGGATAGTGACTGCTTTAATTTGTTGTGATACACTTATTTCCTTAACATGGGACTATATGATTCAGCTTCTTAGGATCGTATAGTTTCTTATGCTACTCCAACAGTTGCACTTGCGAAGTTCTCACTAATTGGGATCAATAAACTCCTTATCACCAAAATATGCCAGATATCACCGAAAACCTGCCAGATAATTCCTGCTGAATCCTCCAGGAAGGCGTTTCCTAGAAAGTAGTTGCGTATATTTTGCACCACACCGTCTGCAAATGTTGGATCGTTTAAAAGTGTTTCATTGAGCTTTCACTGGCTTCTATTGTGACAATCATATTTATTTATAAAATATGTCATCAAGAAACATACATTGAGATGTTGAGTAACTTCCTTCAATATAACTATGTAACTATAGTTACATTACATAGTTACATAGCTGAAAAGAGACTTGCGTCCATCAAGTTCAGCCTTCCTCACATTTGTTTTTTGCTTGCTGTTGATCCAAAAGAAGGCAAAAAAACACAGTTTGAAGCACAATTTTGCAACAAGCTAGGAAAAAAAATCCTTCTTGACCCCAGAATGGCAGTCAGATTTATCCTTGGATCAAGCAGTTATTACCCTACATTGAAAGATTATTTCCTTGAATATTCAGTTTTTGCAAGTATGCATCTAGTAGCAGTTTGAACATCTGTATGGACTCTGATAAAACCACTACTTCAGGCAGAGAATTCCACATCCTGATTGTTCTTACAGTAAAAAAAACCTTTCCTTTGCCTTAGATGAAATCTTCTTTCTTCTAGTCTAAACGCATGGCCTTGTGTCCTATGTAAAGTCCGGTTTGTGAATAGATTTCCACACAATGGTTTGTATTGGCCCCAAATATATTTGTATAATGTTATCATATCCCCTCTCAGGTGAGGTTTTTCTAAACTAAATAGGTTTAAATTTGTTAACCTTTCTTCATAGCTGATATGTTCCATTCCTTTTATTAATTTTGTAGCCCACCTCTGCACTTTTTCTAGTGCCATAATATCCTTCTTTAGAACAGGTGCCCAAAATTGCACAGCATATTCAATATGTGGTCTTACCAGTGATTTATAAAGAGGCAAAATGATATTCTCGTCCCGAGAATGAATGCCCTTTTTCATGCATGACAATACCTTACTGGCCTTGGCTGCTGCTGATTGACATTGCACATTGTTGCATAGTTTGTTGTCTATAACAATTCCCAAGTCCTTTTCGTGTGTTTGTTATCCCTAATTCGCTTCCATTAAGGGTATACGTTGCTTGTGTATTCTATATGTCAAAGTGCATAACTTTGCATTTTTCAACATTAAATTTCATCTGCCATTTGAGTGCCCAGTCCCCCAGTCTATCTAAATCTCTCTGCAGCAAAGTAATATCTTACTCACATTGTATTACTTTACAGAGTTTTGTGTCATCTGCAAACACTGAAACATGACTTTCAATGCTGTCTTCAAGATAATTTATAAACATGTTAAATAGAAGGGGTCCCAGAACAGACCCCTGAGGGACACCACTTGCCACCTCTGTCCAGCTTGAAAATTTACCATTAATGACAACTCTTTGTACTCTGTTTTTAAGCCAATGTTCTACCCAAGAACAAGCATTTTCATCTAGACCGATTTATGACACCTCTCTATTCTTGATTAATAGTTGTTACATTTGGAGAAGTTACAATAGTCTTTGTTTCCCGGGTGGAGAACTCTACTTGCTTGTGATTTTGTGCAGGATCTTGGAAATGCTCTTGCACAAATTCATAGGCCTAAACAAGCACGTACAGTGTTGAAGGATCTAGGATATGGTTGAAATCCTCACATAGGAAGAGCATTCCCCTCTGGACTTCAGTTTAAATAGGACTCCATGTAAGAAATTTCTATTTTCTGAGTTTGGTGCGTAATTATTCACTATAGAGTGTAGTGTGTTGTTAATGGCACAGATAAGGATTATAAACCTGACTTCTTGGTCCAGAGGAGAATTGTGAGCTGTGACAGACACCCTATTACTGGTGTGTGGACACCCCTTAGACTTTGTACCTGCAGTGGCATGATATTGAAACAGATAATTCCTAGTGTTCAATTATGAGGTTTCTTGAAATGTGCTTCTTGTAGGCAAACTAGATCGGGCTGTGCTCTTCATAAGTCTAGATGGAGGCAATGTATCTTAAATGGGATGTTTAAACCCCTAACATAATTACAGTAGGCTTTCAGAAAACATCTCTAAACAAAAGCTGCTCAAAGTGAACACAGGCACCAATTTAATGACCACTCCTTCCTCGTATCATATGCCCAGCTTTTAATGACCCTTCAATGAATAACCAAGGTCTTTGTCAAACAACCAAACTCCCCAACCAACATAATATAGTACATAAACCTTTCTTAACCCATTGTTGTGGAATGACCCGAGAACTTGTTATAGATGTTAAACTACACCATCCTAAAGGTTATTCAAGATTCTGATGGTGAAGAACACACAAAGTTATAGGACAAAGATAGGATAAGGAAGAAAAGATGTAGTAAGAATATATGAAGAAAAAGTAGTAAGAAACTACTTTGAATGCCCTGTGGCAGGCCTTGTACCATGTTACAGGCACCATGTGGGAACGCGGCAACTCCAAAAAATTCATAGGGCTTAACATATTGGAACAGCTCTATTCTCTTATAATGAGCTGTTCAAACTCCTTCCAGCTACCTATAAGAGCAGAGAAACATAGTGGATTGGGAACCATTTTAACATATGATTATCACAGATATACGTGGGAAATTCACATAAACAAATAAGTATAAGATCTCTACTTGATCTTGTAGAATCTGGGTAAGTGGGTAAACATCCTCCAATGATGAGTCATAAATTAAATTAAAAACTAGAGGCGCATATCAGCTGTGCCCAGTAACTCTGATATTGTTTAAAGCTAAACCTCTGTAAAAGGTCTAAGTGGGCACCTTAAGTCGATACCTATGAGTCGAATCAGTGGAATAATTAACATATGAAACATTAGAATTAGAGATGAGTGAACCCGAACTGGAAAGTTTAGGTTCATACCGAACATTACGGTTTTTGGATGCCGGACCCGAACACAGACATTTCAGTGTATGTTCGGGTTTGAGTTCAGTGTTCGGCAATTTAATGGCGCGTTTTGAAAGGCTGCAGGGCAGCCAATCAACAAGCGTTTGACTCGTGTGCCCTTAGAAGCCATCACAGCCATGCCTACTAATGGCATGGCTGTGATTGGCCAGTGCAGCATGTGACCCAGCCTCTATATATAAGCTGGAGTCACATAGCGCCGCACGTTACATGAGCTGTTATTAGTGTAGGGAGAGGATGCTGCAGCTGTGAGGGATAGATTAGGAAAAAATTCTGGTGTTGAATCTGGTGTTGAAAACTACAGCGATTATTTTTGTGGGTGCTATACTACATTTTTGTACCCTGCCCTGAGCCCAGTGCTACAGAGAGTGCAGTGCACTTGCAACTGCATGTGTGCCAGGCACATTACTTTAATCCTGTTCTGGTAGCTCAGTGGGCAACATCTAGGCATTTTTAAATACCGCAATTTTTTGGGTGCTAAATAGTACATTTGTGTACTGCATTTCTTGCAGTCTAATAAAACCCTTAAATACTACTGTTACATTGTTGGCTTAAAAAATCACACTTTTTGTGCTAAATAGTACATTTGCAGTCTGCAGTGCACTTCATATCTGAGAGTCAAATATAACCGTCAAATACTGTGGTTAAATCACAGTTTTAAAAATTACATTTTTTTTTTGGGTGCTAAATAGTACATTTGGGGTGCCCTCCAATAGATCCTCGTTAAAGGATTTAAAGTGTGCTCCTTCCAATTACAGGGCCTCGAAAGAGTCCCTTTATTGTTATTTTTCATCACTACCTCCCCGCGTTGGGAGTGGGTAATTTGCATGCCTGCTGCTTTCTTTGGATGTGGTAGCCGTTTCTCTGGCTTCCTTTCCGGAATCGAACCCTGATTCACCGTTATTCCTCATGGTAGGCGCAGAAAGTAACATCGAAAGTTGATAGGGCAGAAATCCGAATGCGTTGTCGCCGTCACTGGGACGTGTGATCGGCCCAAGGTTATCTAGAGTCACCAAAGTGCCTGCGCAATGACTGCCGAGTTGCCCACATTCTAACTTTTGCTGATTACTGGGTGGCCACCCTGCTGGATCCCTGTTACAAGGACAACGTGCCGTCCTTAATTCCCTCACTGGAGCATGATCGGAAGATGCGCGACTACAAGCGTACGCTGGTAGACTTGCTGCTGAGGGCATTCCCAACTGACACCGGGTGCTCAGTGGAAACACAAGGCGAAGGCAGAGGAGAAGGAAGAGGTGGCCAATGCAGCTGGGGCACCGCCAGCACCTCACAAAGCAGGGTTAGCATGGCCGAAATGTGGAAAAGCTTTGTCAGCACGCCACAACAACCAGCACCACCAGCTGATATGGAACGTCTTAGCAGGAGGCAGCATTTCAGCAACATGGTGGAACAGTACGTGTGCACATGCCTACATGTACTGACTGATGGGTCTGCCCCATTTAACTTCTGGGTCTCCAAACTGGGCACATGGCCTGAGCTTGCCATTTATGGTGCGGTCCTGCCCTGTTATCACAGACAAGCACAGCCGCCTGTCCACAGCTCACATTTATTAAAATGAACCAGGCATGGATCCCACCAGACTTGTCTGTACCTTGTGCAGAATAGACATTTATACTGGCCTCACCCAGCCATTGTTATACTTAAGTGCACTTGTGACGAGACCAATCTCGCCACATTGCATTGGAGAAGCCTGGTTGCCCGCCTGCTGCCTTTAGATTAGGGCTCCATGTTAAAAGGCTTGATTTTCCCCTGCAAAGACATGAAAGCCGGGTCATTTGGTGCTTCCCAATTATCTCCAGGATAGAAGACTCTGTGGAACTGGTTTTGGGCAGAAAAGCCATGCTTCCTTTGGTCACAAAGGACTACGATCTATCTTTTGAACCACTGGACCAATTTGTATGATTTTGACGTATGTTTGTATTTGGAGTATGCTGATTCTGAAAATGTAAGTCAATTTTATGTGAATGTGATGCATACTTTTCAAGTTATGAATAATGTGGAAAAATTGTATTTCTCTGCTTGCTATAATTACATTACCCATTGTGTAAGGTAATTGAATCACAGGCAGAGGGGAGGATTTTGTGTGGGAGCGTCTGAGTGTATTGTATGTGTTTATTGGTTCTGTTCCAAAACCCTGTGGGTGGTACTAATGTGTACATAGACACAATAAACCCACAGCTCTGGCTGTTCACTGCTTGACCCTCAACATGGAGCTTGTTCTCTTTCTTGGGGGGATTTACTGTATGCTGTTCTAGTTTGACTGCTAGGAGTGTAAACCTATTTGTATGGTATTTCCTATTCGGCTGTTTACAGCATTCGTATGGTTTCCTGTTTGGTGTTCTGCAGTAGCTGTTCCTGTGTCTACTAAACGGCTTTTAACCCTTTTTATTAAGAAACAAAGTGGAAACACCTCCCAATACGTGGTGGTATAGGATACTGACACTGCCCTATATATATCTAGGAGGATCATCACATCTACATCCCTGAGGAAGTCCCCTTTTGTTGGACGAAACGCGTTGGACAGATGCTTTAAGTTTATGTATGCTGCTATTATATTTCATTTTATTTTATTATGTATTTTTGTATGTAGTTTTAATTTTTATTCTGCCTGCTTCACTGGATCTTCCATTGGATCTTCTTCTACATCGTTTGGGAGTTCCATGTTGTATGGAGATATGCCTACTATATTTCTTCACTTGTAAGTGAGACCAATAAATATTACTTTGTAATTTTATTACATGCTTCACTATATTTGGTTCTTTATTTTGCATATATCCCACGGAGGACCGTATTGGTGAGTGCACCTATTTCTATTAAATATCACTCACCAATTTAATACTGTATTACGCTATGTCAGTTTTTTAATTCTTTGTACAGATTCCGTTCATGAATCACGACCTATATTTCAGGTTATTTTAATTTTTTCCTATACCACCACGTATTGGGAGGTGTTTCCACTTTGTTTCTTAATTATATGTGTTTTAGGTGTTAGTGAGGTACACCTGGGACCTCTCCCTAATATATGGTCTTTTACTTTAACTTTGTATAGTGTGTATACTTTACTGTTTGTATGTATTTAACCCCTTTTATGCCTGGGGGTGCCGTTACAGCACTTATTCTTTGTTTTCTTGTTTTATATGTCCCAATATTTTGGGGGCTACCCCAGTAAAAAAAACAAAAACAAAAACAAATAAAAAACAGTGTTGGCTACCTCTTCCACCTACAACGCCACGGTCACCGCCTCCTCAACCTCAGGAGTAGTATGCCTGCTACTGCCCACCGCACCCAGGGACCGAGCACATCAAAGCCAGCTCCAAGGAGTTCCCTGGCGTGGCTGTTCTTCACATAATGTGCTGACGACAAAAAACACTAGTGGTTTGCACACTGTGCAATCAGAGCCTAAAGCGAGGCATAAACGTTCTAAATCTGAGCACAACCTGCATGACAAGGCATCTACATGCAAAGCACGAGCTGCAGTGGAGTAAGCACCTCAAAAACCAAGAAAGGTCTCAGGCTCCTCCCGCTTCCTCTTCTGCTGTTGTCACGGCCTCTTCCTCCATCCCGCAAACAGAGGATGTGGCAGCAATGCCACCACGTCCACCACCGTCCCCAAGCATCGCCACACTGTCCCATGGAAGCGTTCAGCTGTCCACACTGGAGAGAAAGAGGAAGTACCCCCTACCTACTTGCGATCCCTGGCCCTGAATGCCAGCATTTCAAAATTCCTGGCCTTTGAAATGCTGTCATTCCATCTGGTGAAGATGGACAGTTTTAAAAACCTGATGGCGTTATTGGACTGCAAGAAATGAACCGCAGGCCGCAAATGTTTCTTTTTTTATATGTCCCAATATTTTGGGGGCTACCCCAATTAACAAAAAAACAAACAAAAAACACTGTTGGCTACCACCTCCTCCACCTATACTGCCATGGTCACCGCCTCCTCAGCCTCCTACTCTACATCCATCTCCTCCTCCTAGTTCAAGATTATTATATTACATTTTTATGTATTTTATGTTATTTCCCTATCCACATTTGTTTGCAGGGCACTCGTCCTACTCTTACCCCCATTTTACTTCCTTTTGCATCCCTTTAGCCCTTTCCAGGACTTTTTAGAGGCATTTTAGTGCCCAAAAGTTCGGGTCCCCATTGACTTCAATGGGGTTCAGGTTCGGGGCCAAGTTCGGGTCAAGTTTGAGGCCAAACTTGAACTTTTTGCTGTTGTTCGGCCGAACCCAGCGAACCCGAACATCCAGGTGTCCGCTCATCTCTAATTAGAATACTAACTGCGGTGGATATATCATATATAGGTGATCCCCCTTTTGGCATACTTCTCTATGAGTGACATCAGAGGGATTAAAACCATTGGCTCCTCGTAAAGTAGGTGAATGGGTTTACAATGTGTTAGCGTATTAAGGGGAAAATCCTGGCGCTGGTGTGTGTGTATATGTATGTATGTATGTATGTGTGTGTATATATGTATGTATGTATGTGTGTGTGTGTGTGTGTATATATATATATATATATATGAAAATATGAGCCACTGCTGATAAAATTGGAGATAGATCAGGCACAAACATATAAATAACTATACTCTCTAAAAACCATGTTAACATCTCTTCCTCCTCATTACACCATTAATATATAATCTCTACAACAAAGATATTGCCTTTTTTGATAAATCCTACTGAAACTCAAAGTTGTTTGTTTGGTTAGACATGCAACAGATAAATTACAATGATATAGAAATGAAACCATAGCTTTGTGGGTTAATGGTAGTTATCGCTTGTTCCCATTGCAGACTGTCCATTAAGCTAATTTCTCACTTTTTCAATTCCAGTTGCAAGTAATGGAATGCAGGAAACTTGTCATGATGATCTGTAGACAGTGCCCAGGAATAGGACACCTTCTTCTCTTCCTCTGGTGATGAGTTATGAGTGCGAGCACCATTACAATGATTTAATAGATGGACTGGATACCGCCAATGGTAGGAGATATGCTCTGCTCAAATGATATCCATGAAATCTTTGAATTCTTTACATATTGAAGTATTTGTGTCAATAGACCATTGTAAAGTTGTATGGATGTATATTTTTGAGGTAGATCCTTGAGTGACCTGGAGGCTTTTAATATCGCCTCTTTGACTAGTAAGTAATGAAGATGTGCCAACACATCTCGTGTGGCTTCTGTTGGTATACATTTTGTTTTTTACACCCTATGTACATGATCTATAAGTAAGACCTTTTCCAACTCTTTACCTCATATGCAGGTGGCTAATGCCCTAATTATTCTTCCACAGTAAGATTCCAAAAGTGATACCAAAATATCAATATGTTCAGTACTATGGGACTTGATACTGGTTTTGTTTCTTCAGAATTTCCTTAGTTGATCCATATAATCTATACAATCATTCATTTACAGAACAGTCCCAATATAACAGATACATTTTGGAAAAGTCTGTAGATTCCTCCAGCACTTTATGATATGTAAAGAAGTGCTAGGCAATCGTTCTCAAGTACTCTGTCTATAAATTAGGGTGCACTGGTTATCTTGTAGATTGTAAGGTCATGTGAGAAGGGCTCTATTCAACCTCTTGTGTGTATCAACTTTATTTTGCAAAAAAATATTTTCTGCATGATTGTAAATTGTTGATTAATGTAAATAATCATTAACAGGATGCCTGCCTCATTCTGTTTAATATGTCTTTCTGAAAAGTCTCACTTTATTCAAGGAATAGTGATGTCCCGAACGGTTCGCCACGAACGGTTTGCCGCGGACTCCAGTCAGCTGACACATTCCAGCCAATCAGCAGCAGACCCTCCCTCCCAGACCCTCCCACCTCCTGGACAGCATCCATTTTGAAGCTGCATTCTTAGTGAGCTGTCCAGGAGATGGGAGGGTCTGGGAGGGAGGCTCTGCTGCTGATTGGCTGGAATGTGTCAGCTGACTGGAGTCCGCGCGAACCGTTCGGCGAAAAGTTCGGGACATCACTATCAAGGAATAATCTTCTCACATATACT